AAAAAAAAAAAAATTATTAGTTCTACAGGTTCACGTTAAACTCAACAAATTCTATAGTCAATAATTTTTTTTTGCAATAATTACAATGAAAAAGAAATTGTGTTTAAGAAACAGATTTTGAGAAGACCAAATTGTTGGAATAAAAAAGAACAAAAATTAGAAGAAAAAACTTTTTACATTATGTAGATAGCACTCACCTGATTGTCGTACGTTGATCTTCGCCTATAATCATTTCCCTTCCATGGATTTAGTCCTGGATGTAAACGGTTTTGCTGTAGCAAAATCGATTCATACGTCATCCTCGACCCATCGTCATACCCGGTTGTTGCAATGGAATTTCTACCCGCTTTACGTAGACCATTGCTATACGGTAGTTGTTCGTCAACATTTCCACCATCAGCTAGTGGATAGTTTTCTAATTGTAGACGAATCTTAGAAAGTTCAAAAAATTTCGTAAATGGATCTTTGTCATCATGGCTATTTAAGTTAACCCGACTTCGTTGAACCGGTAACGGATATAACGGTTTTGAATTCAATTCTACTGCTGCTACTGCCGCTGCTGCCGCTGCTGACGCTGCCACTGCAGCAGCTGTTGTCGCTGTCGTTGTTGGCGTTGATTCTGTTGCATGCCTCATCTTTGACGATGCTTCTGAAGAAGATTCAGTTGCTGCTTGCGACTTTGATGATCGTTTAGCCATTACCCCAGTTGCTGGCATTTCGGCTGCCATATGCCGTTTAGTTGAATGCTCCAATGAACGCGCCTTCGTATTGACCAAATTTGTGCTATGGGAGCGACACCGATCTGGTTTCAGCGAATACAGCTCTGCAGCCGAAGATATTGACGCCAGTCGAGCTGTTCGGTGTGGTGTATTCTGACATTGCATACATCTGTAATGTCGTTTTGTGGCGCGTACCTGAGAACTTGCAGCTCGTCTCATCATCTAGGCTGATTTTAACTTTTTTTTTTTTTTGCCCCTGTTTGACAGAATTCGTGTTGTTCTTATCTATTGCTGTTGTCGTTACTTTCGTTAAGATCGTTATTACTATTGTTGTTGATTTACGGAGTACCCGAGTACAAGCTTCTAAACTATTCTCTTTCTTCGACAGTTAGCACTGTTTTAACCTTTTGTACAATTCGTTGTAAAAACCTGCAAATGAAATTAGAGTCAAAACCAAGCAAATAATATAAAACAGCAATGTTTTTAGCATCTTTTTTATAATACTTAAATTCCGCACCGTTAAACAACAGAGGTGGTATGCTAAAAACGAAGTATAACCAAAGTATAGGCTGCAGTTGTTTGTCTCAGTTTTACACCCTTCTTTTCAATCCTAAACAACGATTTTTATGTGACGACGAAAAATTTAAAGAAAGTAACGTTGCCGCTAAAAAAATATTGCATTTGTCAGTGTTCATTTTTACATTTGTTTATTGAGGTATATATAAAAATATATATATATATATATATATATAT